GAAAATTTTTAAAAACTATTTTTTTTCAAAAAAAGTAATTTTAAATCGTTATGGCAACCACGGATTCCACAACATATGTACGTCACGTGATTAGTTAGACTTGTCTCCAGGCTCCTTATATTGACGTCATGCCACGAAGACAAAATGGCGAAATAGAATCTCTGAGAAGATTGAGTTAGTCCTCTACAAAACCACAAAATGCCGTCCTTATAAGCCACTTAACAACAATAAAACCCGGCTCTAAGCCAACACCAATCGACATTGCTGAATATCAGAACCTTTGGGGGCCAAAATGATTAGAAGAGCGATGTTTTGGCTTGTTTTAGTGTCACTTTTGGTGGCAATGTCTAGTTCTGAGTCTTCAGCAATGTCATTTGAAGAAAAGATCAAAATGAGGTAAGGAATGGTTAATATTTTAAGGTCGAAAAGGAGTTGATTAATACAATAAACTTTTGAATGTCTGGGTATTTCTAGAGACCAAGTAAAGGAGATGTTCCGTCATGCTTATGGCTCGTACATGGTGAGTTTATTTTCAATACATGTTGTTGTCGCTTTATCTTTTTGTTTTTTCTTCTAGTCATTCAACTCACCTTTATTGTCTGGCTCTCTAGCGACCTTCATATCACCTTACAACGGCTTTATATTTCCGTCATTCCATTGATTCTTCTTTTTCTATCAAAACTTGACTCAAATTTCATTTTAAATTTTACAACTTGAAATTACGAATATTATCAATGAACAGCTGTTTAGAGCATTAAGATTTCCTCTTTAGCGAAAAACACTTAAACAAATTATGTTGTTGGCAATTTATTAATCCAATTTTGACTGCAAATGCACAAAAATTATGCTCCCTTAAATTGAATAAAAAAATTTTAAAACGCATTGGATATGACTTTTTTATTTATATTTTTGAGTCCTTGCTTATTAAAGGTTAAATATAAAGCTTACTATTGAATCAATACAGTTGTGTTTGTCAATATTGAGTCATGATTTGATCATCTGTGGCCCACCCATGCTAAAGAATAATTTCATAGTGAATTTTCTATATCAAAACTTGATATTTTTCACAGGAAATAATTGTACAAAATGTTATGAAGTATGATTTATGTATTAATAGTTGTAGGTCATGAAATCAAAAATTTGTTGACATTAATAAATTGAAGTATTGCAGAAATGTAAATTCATATCTTGAATTGTTACATAATGTTGATGCTTTACATAAATTAATTACTATACACTTATATCAAAAGTGGAGGTCTACAAGTGGCTTGTGATAAATAGAGGTTAATAACTTATTTATTACACATTAGGGTTGATAAAATAGCAAAACTTGAAGTTTCCAGTTTACTGTGAATTGATATCATATTACTTCACTGATATGGTTTTTATTCACGGCTTTATCACACTCATATTAAACCTAATTTATGTGCATTAACTAATGATTGCTACAGCAGACCAGAATCTGTAAGGCTCTGAAAATCATCTTAAAATCCTAGGATTTTCATTGCTAATTTTGGAAAACACTGAAAGTTTGCTTCTGCAAGTGTGTCACTGCCCGCTATGGTCACTACACTTGCTGCATTTATGACTGCTTGGGTTCGGATAGGTGGCTTGTAAAAAAAATATATTTTATGTGTAGTCCTTTTTTTTATTGTTCTTTCTCTGACCCTCCCCTGCCATTTGGAAAATTGCCAAATTCCTCTGTGAGAGGGGTGGGAGTGGGGTATGGATAATTTCTGGAACTACACAATTAAACACCAAACACAAAGGCATGAGCTTCAAGAGTTCCCAACCTAAATTATTCATCCTAATTGCTTGGTCAATTGATTTCAGAAATATGCCTACCCAGCAGATGAACTGATGCCATTAAGCTGTAAGGGACGGGTCCGAGGTGTAGATCCAAGTAGAGGAGATGTAGATGATGCATTAGGAAAGTAAGTACGATATCTTGTCAAGCCAGCTCTGTAAATACCATACATATTGTGAGTCAAAAATAGTCTGATTCTTATGCGTGATTATTTCAAAAACATCACAGATGAACTAACTGTATATTTATTTTTTGTAATAGATTTTCTTTAACTCTTGTGGATACCTTAGATACATTAGCTGTAAGTATCATAATCAAGATTATATTCATATTTTTCATGATGAGTAGAAGCCATTTAAATTTAAAGAAAATTTGAGTTGACTATGTATTGGACCTACACCATGCAGCCATGCAAGAAGTCTCATAAATTTACTCTGCATGTTTATCTTTGTATTCTTCATTAGGTTTTTGGTGATATAGAGGAATTTGAAAGGGCTACAAAACTAGTAATAAAACATGTAAAGTTTGACAGTGATCTTGTGGTGTCAGTGTTTGAGACTAATATAAGAATGGTTGGGTAAGTGGTCTAATGTCTAATCTTAATTGCCCTATTTCACTGTTTAAACATAAAGGATCATGGTCGTCAGAGGGGGTCAAATCAATGCAAATTCACCGAAAAATTGTTCTAAAACCCGTATCAATCCACGAAGAGCAGTAGAATAGCCAGAAAACGCTCAGAATATTTTGTGGTACACATTAACACATATTATATCTGATAACCAGGCCATTTTAGATTAAACTGTTTCACTAGGAGCAAATTTTGTTGAATTTTCTATTGGATTTGGCGATTCTATCCCCCACATAAACAAGCAGTGACGTCATGTGAAATAGGGCAATTCATACCTTTCTTTGGATTTTATTATGTTAAGTAGATCCCCAACAGACATTCTTGTTAGTGAAAAATGTCATGAATGAGTTATAGTTCTAGGACTAAAAATAACAGCTGGTCATGCAATCACCTGTCATGATGACCAGCCAAATTAGTTCAGTTTAGCTCTGTCATACTTGGATTCTGGCTCAATGTTACTGATCAAAGTGACTGGAAAGACAAAGATTTGACCAGACAATTTCCAATTCCTATGCGACTCGTGGTACTATGAGAATGAATGAATGATCATTGTTCAATGAATGGTCATTATTTTAACCCAGAGTTTGTCCATCTCGATTCTTCATAGGCACACTTTACAGATTTGAAAATTAGTTATCTTAGAAAGCATAATTACAACAAATTAAAAATGAAAGTTTTTAAAAACTCATTTTTCAGGGGTCTACTGGGTGGACATGTAGCAGCTGTGGCTTTAAAGAGGGATGGGAAAGGAATGACATGGTATAATAGAGAGCTTCTTGACATGGCTACAGAAATTGCAACAAGATTACTACCAGCATTCAATACTTCTACAGGAATCCCATATCCTAAAGTAAGTCAGCCAACAAAAAGGTTCAAATTGATGTTTAATACTTAAACTTTCACAATCCTTTTCAAAATGGACTCTTTTCATATTCAAACATTATAACTCTTTTGAKAATATCAAGACAATAGTGAAACTTAGCAAAAAAAAAACAAAAAAAAAACGAAGGATTCTGGAAGAAGGTATGGGACGTCATCATGCTTGAGGCCTATAGTTGTATTCATGTATTGATGTCTCTTCTTGTGGGCAACAGTTAAACAAAGAAATAATACTCTAGGGAATGACAAGTGGTCTGTAATAGGAAACATTACAGCAAAGCCAAGAAGGTCTATTGAGACACTTTAGCAAGTTATCAGCTCATCATACTGGGTATAGTCGGTCTAAAAGGACGTCTAGTATTTGCTAAGTTATCATTATATACACCTGTGATCATTTGCAGTCAGATTTTTTAGAATTACCATGTAAAAAGCTTACCAGAGTATCTTTTTAGTTTGAATTATTTAACCCTTTCACCAAAGGGATCCCAGCTCAAAAAATACTCCACACAACAGAAAACCAGCAAAATTTAACCCCTTTTATTCAAACTGATATTTAAGCATGAAGGAGTTATTTTCATTAATAGGAACCCCATATTCAAATGAAAGGTTTGGAAGTGTACTTTCTATTCATGGTGTTGGTTCGGCAAATGAGCATCTCTGACATGAGATTGAGGC